TTTGTCTGTCTAGGGCTGGCTTCAAACTTAGATTTTTAGATCTCAGCCTCCTGCATAGTTAGAACTACAGGTATGAGCCACCTGGTGCCCAGTTTAGAATTGTTGGGAATCTAGCTGATTAGATAATCTTGCAAGATTATTCACTCCCGAATAATTTTTGTTGCTGTGGCAAAAATCATTAAAAATGCCACATTTTACCACCAAAGAGAGGCTTGGATATATGACTTGGTCATTCTCTAACTAGGGAGCTATTGCTAATTACATGGCACTGCTCTGTGAATAGGGGTCATTTGCAACTTTTCAGAACCAGAAGCTCAAAGACCTCAGGAAACAAACTGACTAAGGAGGAGATGAAGCGAATTCACATCAGTAAAATTGCAAGATACTGATACTGTAACCATTTGATGAGTTCACATCAAAAAAAAGACATAATCCCTAACTTCCCAGTCAATACATCAAATACATTACCAAAAAGTCCAGGACAGCTAAAACAACAACTGTCTTTGTATATAGCAAGAGAAGAATTCGGGCAATACATAAACATAGTAAAGGCCATAGGGACGGTTATTAGCAAAGAACTGTAACAGAGAAAAAGAGCATGTGGTATAGATGTGCCACAGGGCCACTCAGCCCATCTGCCAATTTAGCCATCTCTAGCCAACTGCCTCAAGATAGAGCTTCTCCTTGGGTTAAATATGAGAACTGGATGGCTTTCTGATTGGCTGGTCTCCATTCTTTTGTTTCCTTTAAGGTTATGACAGCAAAGATTTAGTGCCCAGACATTTACTGTCATTCTTTGGTCCTTGTTACTTGCGTATTCTTTTTTTTTTTTTCTGTCAGTCGTGGGGCTTTATCCTTGGAGGCTTTATCCCCTGGTTTTACATGCTGGTTTTACTCTTGCTGACTCCCTTGACACCCATAGTCCCATCATCTTTGGTGACTTCACTATCTAGAACTCATGGGGTAGCTTCATACCGTTCTTGCCCTTTTGCATTTTTTTTTTTTTTGGTCAGTCGTGGGGCTTGAACTCCGGGCTTGGGCACTGTCTATGCGCTCTTCAGCTCAAGGCGAGCGCTCTACCACTTGAGTCACAGTGCCACTTCTAGTTTTCTAGTGGTTTATTGGAGATAAGAGTCTCACAGACTTTCCTGCCTGGGCTAGCTTTGAACCACGATCCTCAGATCTCAGCCTCCTGAGTAGCTAGGATTACAGGCGTGAGCCACCGACACCCAGCTTGCTCATTTGTAGCCCTCTATCTCCATTTCATTATTGGGCAGGTTTTAGATGATCAGTCATCTGCAAGCTTCATAGGCCTGTTTTTCTTAGATTGGATGTTGCTTTTCTACTAATTGTATCAATACTTAAATGAGAAAACTTTTGAAGAATATAGCTGCTAAGAAGAATAGAAACTAAAATTGATTTTTTTAAGATGTTCACTCCCCTGAGGAAAAGGCTCATAAACAGGCCATAGCTATTATAATCATAATTCTGTGGGTGAGAAGTTGATGGGTGCTAGCTAGAGAAGTTTTTGGAATCTTCCAGGAATGACTCTACACTTAGTACCCACAAAATATGTCTTGTTGAGTACTGGTAGCTCATATCTATAATCTAATCTACTCAAGAGGCTGAGATCTGAGGATCATGGCTCAAAACCAGCCCAGGCAGGAAAGTCTGTGAGATTCTTATCTCCAATTAGCTACAAAAATGTGGAAGTACCTCAAGTGGCAGAGGGCTAGATTTGAGCACAAAAGCTCAAGGACAGTGCCCAGGCCCAGAGTTCAAGCCTCAGGACTGGCAAGAAAATAAGTATATTTTTAGCCTCTGAAGACTTTCCTTTTGTAACCAGGAAAATAGCTTTGGTTCCCTTGCCAAATATCTATTTGGTATAATTTCAACTAAGGGTACAGAACACGGATGTGTGGTTCCTATCCTCTATTCTTTTTAATTTTATTTTTTATTGTAAAGGTGATGTACTGAGGGGTTATAGTTCTATAAGTCAGGTATTGAGTACATTTCTTTTTGAACAGTGTGCACCCCCTCCCTCATTTTTCCCCAGTTTTTCTCCTCCTGACCCTCTCTCATTAGTGAGCCCTGTGAGCAATGTCAGAAGTCCTCTGATACCCGAGGCCTGGCTGTAAGCACCCTTTCCGCCTTCCTTCCTTGTAGGATTGGAGGTTGGCGATCCTAACCACCATTTCTCAGTAGATAACACAATGGCCAGAAGAGGGTTGAAATCAGTTTTATTGATGGATTGGAGTATACAGCTGGAATCTGAAGCCTAAGTAAGTTTTCTTTCTTTCTCTCCAAAGTGATGGCAGCCGAGTCCTCTGGGCAGGCTTGTCAAACTTACCCACCCAGTCACTGACCGAGGCTGGAACATGGAGAGCGGAGCTTAGCTGTGCCCATCAGCTGGGCAGGTCCTGCTGGATCTGTTTACGGCATGGAGACTGGAAGTCCAAGACAGAAAGAGAGAAGAAGAAGCAGGAGGACAAGTAAGCAGAGACATTTAGCATATTATCTCCACCCAGTAGAAGAAAATGGCCCAAGAGACTGACACCCTATCAGCCATAACCATCCCAGAAGTCACCCTGAGGCAGATTTATCTCTTCTTCTACCTAGTACTTTCTTTCCAGGTTGGGAATGTCAGAAAGAGATACTTCCTCTATTTGATTCAGCAGAAAAAAAAATCTGGCAATAAAGGAAAAGGTTTTCCCCGAGAGATAAGGTTGGTTCAGGAACCCAGTGATAACTATACAATGAAGAAGCCACCAAAGACAATTTTGTGTGAGCTTTTTAGGATTAGCAGACATGACATTCCCCCCCCCCCCCAAAAGGCACTGGTTAGACCTTTGCAGAGCTAGACAAATCACCTCACACCTGAGCCCTAATGACTGAATTCCTTTGCCCTATACTCTAGAGTCTGGCATTCTGAAGACTGATGAGTAAGAACTGAGCTTGATGAACTAAAGAGGTTGCCTCAACTAGGGGACAATCCCTCTTAACATCTATCGTATTTCTCCTGTAAAAAGCATACCCACTCCTTTGTTTCCTTCAGAGTAACGCCTAATCTGACATCCTATGTGGAGTTGTAGTCTTTATGGTGTATATCCTCATGAGACCTCTCAAGGCTACTATATGTGAAAGGAAACCGATGTAAAGTAGTGAGCTTCCTCTAAGACCTGTGACAGAAACAGAAGTGTCACACAAATGTTACACAGTACAGTCTGACAAAGTTCTGTCTGGTACAAGAAGGCTCCCTGTTCTGACCAGTGATGGTGGCTTCTTAATTTTTAGTGTTCTGAAATCTTCCCTTTTCTCCTATTTTTCCTGTGCTTTTGAATTTTTCTAGCTAAAGTAATATTTTGCTGCTTTTTTTAGAGGAATTTCAGAGTTAATGCCCCTTTTGGGCCTGGGTAAATTTCCTTGATTAACTATGATTTTTTTTTTTGTATTATCACCATTAAAGCCTGACCTGAAGTCAGTCCTAAAGTGCATCCTCTTATAGTTTCCAGCAAGTTAACTACACAACTTTAAATAAGACTGAATAATTGCAAAAATATTTTACCCCAGAGTATTTTATTAGGGATTCCTGCCACCATATTAACATATAAAACAATCTGGATGTTGACATAGAAATGCAAATTTCACTATACAATGATAGGGCTCCATTCACAGATACTGCTCCATTCACAGTTAAGTGGTCCCCATATCCCTAGTACCTTAATGAAATCAACTCACTGTGAATTCTCCCCCAGAGTTATGTATATAATTATTAGACAAACCACGAAATATGCCTCAAATACATAACATCTTACAATTTGATTAGAACAGATAGAAATATGTGATTCTTTATTTGTATTATTTTCATTGTTAAACTTGGAATAGCACTAAAAGCAAGATTGTATGTGTATATGTATTTGCCATATGTGTGTGGACAAATCCACAATGACTGTGCACACAGTCATTTTCATGGAACTCTTTGAGGCTTTGGGTTTTACCTACCATGATATCTGAAAGGGAAAGGAAGGACAACATGTCACAAATTTCTCAATTGGGGCAAAATAAGCACAACTATGTATGAAAGGCATACGGGTTGTGTCTATACAAATATATACATATATACAGGTTTGTATATAAATACACATATACCAATTATATGGAATATACATATACTCACACACTTGTTTTGAACTATAGTGTATCACTAGATTATATGCTGTCTTTCTTTGGAAGCAGTCTTCTCATTTGATTCAGTCAACTGGTAACTATCTTCTCACAAAACTTAAATGGATATTACTAAAAGGCTTTCATTTTATGATCCCAGTTTTCCTTTGGATAGCTATTATTTAAATTAAATTATTATTTAAATCTATTCCTTCAACGCATCTACCTGAGAACATTTTTATTCAACAATAGAGCTTCTTTCTGCCTAAGAATTGATAGATGATAACTGGAAATGTTAAAAATAAGTGGCTCACACTTGTAATCCTAACTACTCAGGAGGCTGAGATTTGAGAATTGCAGTTTGAAGCCAACCTGAGCAGAAAAGTCCATCTGAGACTCTTATTTCTAATTAACTACCAAAAAAGTGGAAGTGGAGCTATGGCTCAAGTAGTAGAGTGCTAGCCTTGAGTGAAAAAGCTTAGGGACAGCACCCAGACCCTGAGTTCAAGCCCTAGGTCTGGCACAAAAAAAAAAGTATTTTTCTCCTTAAAATAAATCTGTATGGTTGGATTACAATGACATTTTTCCTGTTGCCTTTTGAAAAACATTTTTTTTCTAGTTGTGGGGCTTGAACTCTGGGCCTGGGCACTGTGCCTGCATTCTTCAGCTCAAGGCGAGGACTCTACCCCTTGAGCTACAGCGCCAGTTCCAGTTTTCTAGTGGTTTATTCGAGATAAAGAGTCTCTCAGACTTTCCTGCCCGGGCTGGCTTTGAACCGTGATCCTCAGATCTCAGCCTCCTAAGTAGCTAGGATTACAGGTGTAAGCCACCTAAGTAAATGACATGAAATACAATTAGAAGGGAATTGCACTGGAACACCTCTTCCATCCAGGAGGATGATTTAGAAGTCACATGAGAAGATAAAAGAAGATAAAAGAAAAACTAAAATTTCAATGTCAAAGCTTGCCATTTGCAAATTTCCAAAATAAATCATCACAGGTTTCAACCACAGAAAACATATTTCCATGTCAGTATAAGTCATTGAAAGTTCATGAGAAGAAATCCTTGTAAACTTACTAGTAAGTATATATTATATTGTGTTCAACAGAAGATCTAATGAACTGATTTTCAAACTTACTTTCAAAATTAATTGTCTGATAAATCACTCAGTGTGCCAGTAAATTAGTGGGACTGGAATGGCCACTTTGGAAGTTCTCATAAAGATAGAGTTGGGATGTCATTAGAGTTAGGGAGAGATTAGGGATGGGCCACATCTCTTTGTAACTAAAAGCAATGGAATGTTTTCAATCCAGAAAGAAATCCTAAGCTCCATGTTATAAACTCCATACCCTTTACTTACTCAGTTATTTGAGTTGAGTACTCTGTATGACAAAACATCATACCCTTTCTATCTTGGATTTCATGGCATGAAGGAAGGTACTAGAAGAGTTATCCCCTCTGTCGTCTACTTCACCCAAGTTCAATTGATACATCTGATGAGCCCTTTCCATTTTCTTAATGGAAGCCCCAGTTATAAATGAGTTAAGCTCTTAAAGAAACCAGGCAAAGAAAAGAGTATTTTGCAGAACATGAAGGACTGTCGTTGGTACTTATCATAAAGACATTCTCAATCTCCCTCTCTCTTTCTCTCTCTCTCTCTCTCTCTCCCTCTCTCTCTATTTCTGTCACACACACACACACAAATAGACACACATATCATTTTTAAAAGTTCCTCTAACAGAATCATAATGAATGGTATAAGGGAACAAAAAATTACCTTAAAATGTCTCCACTTTTATTTAGATCGCTTAAACGTCCATGTGAACTCGGCAGTGAATGTACTGTTCTTTACATCATTGAATGCCTTGTAACTCCATCACTTTCATTAAGAGACCGTTCACCTACCACCATGTGCCTACCAGCCTCAGCCTCGCAGAACTCTGCTTTACAACTGCTTTCCATTTGTCCAGTTCCTGTCTGCCTCCCTTCGGTGGGTTAAGGTACAGTAAGCAATTAACTGATTGCATTTTTTCCTGTTGAGCTTTACTTTCTTTTTAAAACATTCTGCTTCCCCAGCCCAAATAGATGGACAAAATGCAAAGTGAAGTATCAAGTCAACTTGTCTAAAACTTTGAAAAATGGACTTCTCCTTATCAACTCAATGCTCTCAATTTCCACATTCTCGTGTTCCATCATCTGTTTTTAGAAACTTATTACAGTGTCTTTCTACCCATTTTCTATCTCATATGGAGGTAATAACAAATTACAGGATTGTTCAGCTAAAAATGTCTAAAAACAAATTGCTGCCAAAACATTAAAAAAATTCCCAATATACCATTGTGCATCTTACAATCTGTATACTTGAATAACTCCAGGAGGCTTCTTTTTTTGCTAAAAATTTACCAAAATAGTTTGAACACATAAAAATATTTTTAAAAAACAAAAACAAAAAACCAGCATAAATTTAGTGGTATAGGCATTGGTTGGAGGACATTGTTTTCACTAAGGATTATATTCAAAAACTTATCCTTCAAATTTTACTAAAATTCTGATTCTGAACTTTATAGCATGTAATAATGGTATTAACTATAAAAAGTGGGGAAATCAGCCCATTGAATTATTCATTATGATATAATAGAGGATTCTATACTACATTAAAAATAAACAGGATTTTTGATTATCTAAGGCCATCTTCCTGACCTGTAACTAAAGTAACTACATTTGATTTAAACTTATTTAAGTGCATTGAATTATGGAAAGCTAACTTAACGGTTAGAGTAATTAGATATGAGGAAGGAACACCCGTTGATGATCCCATAACCATTCAGAACCAGACATCTACTGAAAATTCCAAATCACTAGTATTGAATATAGCCCTTAGTCTTCTAAGATATCAACTTCATGAGCAACCCAACATGTAGAGGATGAAGTTAACCTTCCCAGCCACCCACTCCTTGAGGGGACAGTAGTACTCATGGTGAAACTGCTCAAACTCTGGTGTCTGGCGGATTTCACATAAGAAGGAGAGATCAATACCTGACTCCAACAGGAGGAGGAGCAGGGGAAATACAAAGAGCAGCAGTCCCAGGCCCACCACAAGAAGCCTGGAAAAACTCTTGACCAGTGGGTTCACCCAAAAATGGCCCGTCAGAATGTCATAACTCCATGACAAAGCTCGGCGAGCTTCCTTCAGTTCCTCTTCTTCAGCAATCAAAAAGGCATTTTCATCTGCTTCCAGTTCCTCAAATGAATCTGTTTCTTCTCTTTCCAACTCCAGCCTAGATGGACAGTCAAAGAGCATGTCAATCTCATCGTCATCCACAGGGGTAGGGAGAAGGCTGGCACTTGGGTTGTATGCTAGTTCTGAGATGGTTAAAGGCTCTTCTTTTATTTTATCTTCCTCTTCACTTGGGGGCTCTTCATACACCCGAGCTTCCTTAACTGGTGAGCTGGAGTTCAGGGGAGCAGAAACATCCTCTTTAGTCAAGGGGACACCTGTAGAGAAACATTCTTTACTTTAATTTTAAGTCTCAGTTTTTCTTTTTCACACACACACACACAAACACACACACACAAGCAAGCACACAAGCATGCACAAATAGAAACAAAACAATGAACAGAATTCAAGGAATCCATGAGTTGATCTGTGGGATCCTGACTTTAAGTTATCTGTTGATAACAGATCCTGTACCATTAGCTCTAAGGTCAACACACTAAATTCAAAATAATCAACAGTGAACAGTCAACAGAGGCTGGCAATATGTATCAGATTTAGATGTGCAATTCTGGTCTGAAAATGTCTAACTTTAGTTATATCTGTAAAAATATTTGTAAAAATATACTTCACAATTACATTATAACTATAGTGATATATACATATGTAATGACAAACATCATAATTATATAATTATACAGGATGCCTTTGTGAAGCCAGCACTATCACCCAATATAGTATTATATGAGTATAGTATATTATAGCAAAATTGCAGACTCTTCCACCCAGGGCTAAGATTCTTTCAGCATATAATTTTGTGGTTTCTAGTATTAAATATAGGTTGAGAATCTTCTATCTAAACATTCAAAATTTGAAATACTCTGATTCAGATTTTTATATATTAGAGACAATTAACCAGCAAGCTCTAAGCAAATATTCCAAATCTGAAAGTCTGAAATCTGAACTAGTTCTGATCTCAAATATTTTTGGTAAGAACAACTCAACTTGTAATTATATTGTATTGTGTACACAAACTTCCATCTTTCCCCTCTCATCTAGTATTTTAGCTAATACTTTTTTTGTTGTTGAAACACTGTCTTTTTCAGTTTTATTTATAAGGAGCACCAACTTTTCTTTCCTTCCCAATACTGGCCTCAGGCTTGCTAGACAGGAACTCTAACACTAAAACCACAGCTACTAACATGGCTCCCCCGCCCCCCGGCTTTTTTTGTCGGTCATGGGGCTTGAACTCTGGGTCTGGGTGCTATCCCTCAGCTCTTCAGCTCAAGGCTAGCACTCTACCACTTGAGCCATAGAGCCACTTTTGGTTTTCTGGTGCTTAATTGGAGATAAGAGTCTCATGGACTTTCCTGGCTGGGCTGGCTTTGAACTGCAATCCTCAGATCTCAGTCTCTTGAGTAGCTAGGATGACACATGTGAGCCACTGCCTCCAGCCCCCAATTTTTCCACCTAGTTGCCTATTTGGTAAATTCTTGGATTGAGTTAGAGTCCTAAAACAATGTGATGAAGGCATCATTACGTCTAAAGCTTTTCAGTTGTTTTCTATAGAGATAGATATATTCAGGAGGCCATTTTCTTGATTAAAAGATACAGCCTTCTAAAAGGCTTGATGGAGAGGTGTTTCTGGATATCTTTTCATACAGATGGGAATTGCAGCTAATTTGAGTCTTGGATTCTTAGTGAGAAAGAAAAACAGTATCAAAGCAGGATCCTTTGGGGTGGAGTAGCTCCCTCTGTGATGGAGTAGCACTCTCTGAGATGGAGAATAGGATGCAATAGCATCCTCTGGAACAGAACAATATCTTCTAGGGTGAGTAGCACCTCAGTGTGATGGAACAGCACCCAATGGGATGAACCAACACTCTCTGGGATAGAATAGCACACTCTGGGATGGAGCAGCACCTTCAAGGGGTGGCATCGCATCTTCTGGGATGAACCAGTATTCTTTGAGATGGTATAATATCCTCTGGGATGGTGCGGCACCTTCTGGGGTGGAATAGCATATTTATGATAGAATAGGGTCCTCTGGGATGAACCAACACCCTTTAGGTTGGAGCTGTAATGCACCACCAAGTTAGCAGCCAGATGCACTAGGTAACGTTCTACAATTTCTTTCTTTTCTAGCCATGAGGGAGTAAATTCACTTTTTTTAAAAAAAATTTTTTGGGGGGTCCAGTTGTGGGGCCTGAACTCTGGGCCTGGGCACTGTCCCTCAGCTCTTCAGCTCAAGGCTACCACTCTACCACTTTGAGCCACAGTGCCACTTCCGGCTTTTTTTTCCTTTTTGCTTATATGGTGCTGAGGAATCGAACCCAGGGCCTCAGGCATGCAAGGCAAGTGCTCTACCACTGAGCCAACTTCCCAGCCCCAGTAAATTTACTTTTTTCTTTAAAAAAATCACCAGATACTGACATCAAATATGGGGAAAAGCAAGTCATCTAAGGATACAGGTGGACCTGTTGCAACAATGAGAAGTACAAGTTGTCATGTCAAAAACGAGCTTTACAACGGTGGGTGGGGGGAGGATTAGGTGGGGGGTGGGGGGGAGGCTGGGAATGGATGTGAAGGGTAAATAAAGGAGGAGGCTGCAATGCTTGATAAGAAATGTACGCATTATCCTGCCCATGTAATTGTAACCTCTCTGTACAGTATGTTCCCAAAAAAAATAAAATGAAAAAAAAAATCAGCAGATAGTTTCCAAAATCTCTAGCCTAAGAGCTCTAAAGAGTCAAAATCGAAAATACTATCTTTTAAAAGGCATATGCAAATGACCAATGAGCATATAAAAATGTGTACAACAACATAAGTAACCAAGAAATGCAAATCAGAACCACAGTAAGTTTCCACATCACACTTATTAGAATGGTAGTCATTAAACAAAATAACAAATGTGGGTGAGGATGCATATTGCTAATAAAAATATAAATAAAATGGTTCCATCACTGTGGGAAATAGTGAGGTGGCACCTCAAAAAATCAAATATAGGCCAGCATCAGTAGCTCACGCTTGTAATCCTAGCTACTCAGAATGATGAGATCTGAGGATCACAGTTCAAAGCCAGCCTGGGCAGAAAAGTCCCTGTGAGACTCTTATCGCCAATTAACCACTCAAAAACTGGAAGTGGTGCTACGGTCAAAGTGGTGGAGCACTAGCCTTGAGCAAAAGAGCTCAGGGACAGCACCCAGGCCCTGAGTTCAAGTCCCATGACCAAGCAAAAAAAATCAAATGTAGAATTATTATAAGATCTGACAATCCTAGTCATAATTGTATGCTCCAATAATATTGAAACACATTGTATCTATTCATGAAGATGGCAAAAAGAACTCATTGACTCATTGTGCCATAGGGGAGGTAGATGGAGGAAAGAGTCTACAGGGGGTTAATTTGGCTACAATATAGTACACACAACGATATGAAATGCTATGGTGAAACATCTTTGTACAATTAATAGAAACAAAAAAAAACGACAGGCAAGTGAAGCAGGCTTCACTGGCTGAAGAATGGGTACTAATAAGAGAGGGAGAGAAGCCGGGCGCTGGTGGCTCACGCCTGTAATCCTAGCTATGCAGGAGGCTGAGATCTGAGGATCACAGTTCAAAGCCAGCCTGGGCAGGAAAGTCTGAGAAACTCTTATCTCCAATAAACTGCCAGAAAACCAGAAGTGGCTCTGTAGCTCAAGTGGTAGAGCAGTAGCCTTGTGCTGAAGAGCTGAGGGACAATGCTCAGGCCCAGAGTTCAAGCCCCATGACTGACAAAATAAAAGGGAGGGAGAGAAGAGAGATGGATGAGACTGATTGTAGTGGGAGGACTTTGTAGGAATGTATGTAAATAGAACAATAAAACTTATTGAAATTGTTTTAGGAAGTGGGGAGTTAAAGAGGAGGAAGAGTGATAGAGATGTCTGACCTGGACACATTGTATATGTGTGTGTGAAAATGTCACTATGAAACGCTCTTGTACAAATAATGTCTTATAATAAAATGTTTTTCTTCAGAATTTAAACAGGTAATCAAATAAATACTTGCAAGCCAATGTTCATAGCAATATCCCAATTTTCTTTTGGGGGGGGTTGGTGAACTCAGGACCTCACACTGTCTATTGACATTTTTTTTTACCCAAAGCTGATACTTTACCATCTGAGCCACACGTAAACGTTCAGCTTTTTGGTGATTAATATAAAAATCTTGAAAATTTATCTGTCCAGGCTGGCTCTGAAATGCCATCATGAGATCATGAATAACCAGGATTGTAGATGTGTGCCACAGGTGCCTGATCTACTCCAGATTTTTAAGAGGTAAAAGCAACCCAAGAGCCTATAGTGGCTGAATAAGTAAACAAAATGTGGTCTAGTCATACACTAATATACTATTATTCAGGCAAAAAGCACTAAAGTACTAATCCACACTACAAAGGATGAACCACAAAACCATGTTAAGTGAAGGAAGTCAGACTCAAGGATTACATAATTACATAATTCTAGTTATATGAAATATCCAGTAGGGACAACCCCCCCCAAAAAAAAGAAAACACTCTGCTGGTTGTGACTTCCAGGCCAAGTCAGGACACCTAGATTCCATTGTCCAGCTGAGTCATAATAATCTGAGAACTGTAGGTAAGTCATTCTAATCCTAGACTTCGTATTTGCAAAATGAACCAGACCCAGTCTTAGACCAAGTCTCTCAATATACTGCTTCATTTACGCATATGTAAGAGATGGAAGTGGGGGGGGGGGTACTAAGATTTTTAATGAATTTCTGTACCGCTACATAATTTAAAGCACATATCTCGTAATATTCATAAGAAGAGATCAGAAATCTGGAAACTTTCTTTCTTTCGTCTGTTTCTTTCTTTCTTTCTTTTTCTTTCTTTCTTACTTTCATCTTTCTCCCTTCCTCCCTTCCATCATTCCTTCCTTCCTTCCCTCTTCCTGCTCCTCCTCTTCCTCTCTCTCTCTTCCTCTCTCTCTCTCTCTCTCTCTCTTTCTCTCTTCTTCTCCCCCTCTCTTTTTTTGGTCCGATAGTACTCAAGCTCAGAATCTGATGCTTTCACTAATTGGTTAGCCCTCTATCAACTGAGCCACACCTCCAATCCAGAACCCTGAGACTTAAAGAGGTTTAGTAATTTGTAGAAGGTCACAAAACTAGAAAGTTAACAGAGCAAGAGTCTGTCATACTCCACAGTCCACAGGTTTTTGGCTTTTTTCCCAAACCACGATGTTACCTAAAAAAGGATCTCAGAGGCTCAGACAACTTCACTTTTT